AAAATAAGAGGTTTTGCCATTATCACAACAGTTTATCAGGGAGGGTAGGCGTTCGGTGTCTTAAAACAAAGGCGAGCGACAGTAGCCTTAGAAAAAACGTAAATTATTTGTACATATTTATATTCTATTCCGCCATGGTTACAGTCATAAGGAAACGTCAAAGGCGTCAAATTTACCAAATGAGTTTGCTTAACATTCTGGAGATTGGGTGGTAAAAAAGGACAATTAATGATGATGAGTATTAGAAAGAGAGAAAGAAAATGCATAAAAATAAAAAGGTTAAAAAGAAACAAAAATACGCTAAATATACATACAGTTCTACAGGGTTTGGCAGACATGCTTAATCCGAATGGGTCGCCAACTCAGCAAAATGTATTTATGCGTATGTATTATATATGTATTTTTATGTCAAGTGCTAGTTGGGTAGGTACTCCTTCGCGAAGGTTCTGAGGAAGACTGTTTTAATGCCTAACACGTCTAAAATATTCCTGTGCGTAGTATGCAGGCCACGTGTGCATAGAGTAATATATAGGTTCTAGGCGTCCACACAGTTACCTTAATTAAGACGGAGGCACAGTGTAAAAGACATCAAGGTTAGGCTCAAAGGACATGCAGGCCTCTCTAGGGATTTGCTGTTCAAGGCATAGCATTCGCAAGACAGGCAGGTCTTTAGAACATGGTGGACCTTACACATACTGAGGGTGAGTTAGAATCCCACATAGGTTTAGAATTATAAGGAATCGCTTCTGCCGAGCCCTTTCGCGCCCCGCCTGTAATGATCTAATGGCCGTTTGAAGAAAGCTAAGAAGTTTAATTTGAAAAAAGGGTATTTATTTCGGTGATTATTCCAGCTTAGGTAATACAAGCAATGCAAAATTTAGGAATAGATTTTACTAATCTGATTTCATCACACGAAAAACACACACTGATAGTTGCCCGGTTGCCTTGGCCTGGTAGACCTGCGAGTCCTGCGGTCGGGATGACAGCCGCAGTGGGTGACGGGGCCCGCCTGACCATCTGGCGGGCCAATACCCGTCGGGGGGATGAGACGAACGCTTTCGCTATACCCGTCCCTCCGACACATTGGTAAATGGAACACCGGGTTGGTTTTTAGTCAGTAAGAGTCTGACAGTACCCTTCGCCCTTCCCCGAGGACGGTGGGTCTCCATGAGGATTTTCCAACCCGACACCAAAAAAAACCTGCAAGTTTGGCCTAATAATTTGTGGTCGTGAATCTGTGGCTAAGACATAATACTATATATAAAAAGTTGGACAGTTCATCTATTTTTAACTTTATACTGTCAACTAGAGTATGTTTAATGGGCAGATTTTTGAGTTGCCATACATCTAGATTAAGACCTGTTGTATAACCGAAAGCCAAACTAAGTACTTTGGGTTTTACCTTTGACTAACCATGTCTCGCTTTATCCGAAGCTTGGCAACCCTACATACATACACGTGTTTCTAAGTATTTTTCCCAAACCACGGACATCAAAACGTGTTTGAGTAAACATACACACATAACTTCTGTGAAGTTGGTGTTTAAAAGCAGATTAAACTTGTAAGTTGTTCCTACGTCAAAGTTTATGCAAATAGAACTTATCTAATTTAGTCGTATGCAACCAAATGCTACATGCGTCTGTTTTGAGTCAGCTTATGATATTAAGAGCCTGTTGCACAACCTCCATATATGTTATACTCTTAAGTTCTCGATAAAGTTCTGTGGCAGAGGATTCATTCATATTTGATATGTTCTATATTCAAAATTTTGAACAAGTCCGTTTTTCAGAAATGGTAGTTTATTTGTCTATAAGTACATCAAGTAGATATAGGCATATTATTTCATTATCGTTTAATAACAACAAAAATTAAAGATTTTTGTACTGGCCCTAACTTTTGCCCGCGACTTCGTTAGCGTGGAATAGTGACTTTCTGCAGATTTTTGGAATAAAAACTATCCTGTGTCCTTTACACAAAAAAAACTACGTCTGTACCAAATTTCACAGAAATCGATTCAGTAGTTTAGGCATGAAGAAAAGACAGATAGACAGACGGAGTTACTTTCGCATTTATAATATTAGTTTGGATTAAAAGAAAATCCTAAACTTTTATTTTAAAACTCTGAACTTTTTATATTTTAAGGTTAAGATTTATAAGTCTTATCTATCTTTCTATCGGGTTTATCTTAATAGGAATGATACTACGGCCTCAACAAATGAGTTATGGTTCATTGTAAACCTCTACAACATTTAAATATGTTGGAACCATAATGTCTACATATGTATACATTATACGCCAGGTAACGTAATTCATTAAGGGGCACTTAGGTATGTGCTAAAAATGTAAAGTGCCAATTTAATCGTCACGCAAAATAGATAAAAAAAATTAAAACATAAAAAGACAAAAATCTTTCTATAAAATATCACTTAGCGGGCTTTTACAACAGATTACTGTCGCGCTACACTACACGATATTTTTATGAGCACTTTTATTTCACACCTGGGTCGAGGTAATAACGTGTAACGATGGATCTAAATGACATCAGCCGGGAACGACCTGTTGCTCTACACGAACACGACATAAATATGAAAAAAATGACGCATGTGGAAGGTTAGATTTCAACTCGTGTGTGCCAGTCTCATTTTTTGTGGGTATTCGAGCAAATGCGTGTATTTTTTCATATATTTCAAGTGTAACAGAGTCAAGCTATGGCACGAATGGGTCGGCTCGACCGGAGTGATACTCACGGTCTTACAGAAAACAGTATTTTGTTTCACCGTTGAGGTTACCGGAGGCCTAATCCTTCTGCTTTCCACATTCCTCCTTAATCCATAAATCTCGGAAACCCTAATCTCCAAAAGTCCGGAAACGTACTCGTAAGTCCTCTCGCGTTGCGGGTGCCCACGGGCGATGCAGTTTGCTTATCATCAGGTAATCCGTCTGGTTCAACTAAATATTCCAAGGCTGTGAGAAAAGCCGGGGTTGTGGGGTAAGCGCAATGAGGCACCGCGACCTCAGCCTAGAGCAGGAGAAGGAACTGGGGGGTTTTTAGTCAGTAAGAGTCTAACACTCTGAAGTCATTTGATGATTTTCACCTCACTACAAAAGAACTGTGAGAAATTCAAAAGGGTACACTAAGATTCAAATGAAAATACGTACGAATTAGAATCCCATTTTGACTTGAAACAAGTAGTAGTAGTATGTACGATCCATCGTACAACTCATATCTTTTTACGTTAAATAAGCAGTTTTGAGCCGCATGCGCAATATACTTTAGTTCGCGTTTGGTCTTCGCCGCGTGTATTCACTATCATTATAATTATATTAAAATCACGCTATCACTGTATTAATTAGCAATAACATCGTATCAATAAACTATCATTTAAATCTATCAATTCTTATCATTTATAGTTGTCCCGTACTTAGTCGTTATTACCAATAAAGTAACTTCGGCTCTATGCAAGTAATATAGTATAAAATATAAGTTAAGATTTAAATTAGAACTTTGCCTCTTTTTCTGGTTTTCGATTAACTTGACAGATGCACCTACATCGTACATATCTCACTATTAGTTCGCAACATAAGAGATCTTGCCACAACAGTTTGTCAGGGTGGGTAGGCGTTCGGTGTCTTAAAACAAAGGCGAGCGACAGTAGAGTTAGAAAAAACGTAAATTCCATGTATGTATATTCTATTCCACCCTGGTTACAGTCATAGGGAAACATGTTATGTGTCATGATATGTTTGATATCTGGTTCATTCCTTTTGTACCTCCCTGATTGGTTCCTCACAAGTTAACAATAGCAATTTACGGGGCTTTTTTCTCAAATATCTTTCTGCCTCGTAGTGAACTGTGGTAGGCAGTATTTTCGAATTCTTACTTTAATCAGAGAAGAGGAGAAGCGATTTGACATTCTCGTCTCAAGAAAAAAGGACGTTTAAACTCAATGTATATCATACATAGACACGCAAACAGTATCCAGACTTTAATATTTAGACAATAGTTCATATCAGATAATGCCAGAAAATATGTAATCTTGACAGACTTGCTTACTCGTATTGCAGCAAATTATCTTAAAATACGTCCAGCTGTGAAATGTTACATGCTGAATTCAGGAGCAAATAATATAACAACCTACTAGTAACAATCAAAAAGATACAACAGGAATAATCTCGGCTTCTCACAACCACCCACGCATCGACGAGTAAGCGTAACATAATCCAAAGAGCGTACAATCGATCGATTCCTCTTAGCTTTAGGTAAAGCTACAATTTCATATTTAAACAAAACAATAACAGTATGAAAACGTAAATTATTAATGATGTTCTCAATAATTCTGTAATCCAATTTAAACCTTAAATCTCATTTCAATATTGATTTCAAATTTCGTTTTGTAAAGATATTGTTTCGAATTCCATTTTCAAACTTTTTGTGTTATTACAAATTATGATAAACGGATTAGGTGCGAGTGCCTTCTTGTGATTGTGTGAATGGATGTAAGATGGCTTTGCTTGATAATAATTAAAATTCAAGTTTTGCCTGTGACTATGAGATAAGTGCCTTTTTGATTTGACTCAATAAATTTCGAAAGTGAGTCTTTTTATAAGTTTTCTTTTAACTTTTTTGGTGTTTGTGAATTTCCTTTAAGTTGATTGTTGTATTCTCTTGTTTAAAATCTTTTATAGAGTCATGTAGTTTGTTTATTAGTTTGTAAAATTATATAAATGTAATGTAACTAACGCAAAATAAATCTTTTATGATATTAAGCGGTTGCTACCCCAAAAAGTCTTATTATTTATTAAAATTACGATCCCCGATACACTCTAACTTAAAGTGGTGAAAACCGAATGGGATACAACATTAACGAAACCTGAGCACGTTAAGGATAAAAATGAATAATTAATCAGTTCGAATCAATGCGAACCCTCATCAAAGTCATATCTGTACGTCACGAGTAGCTCTCGTCAATCGATCGAGCGAACAGATTAGGCAAACTCACCTGGTAACTCCAAAAAGTTTGACGTCCTTCTCTGACGGCCTCTCATAGTGTTCTGAAAGTTCAGCGGACCTATGTCTTCTACAGAATCGCAATTTGACATGGTAGACTCCCTCGACCCTCGTCTACTCGCCAAGTACGCCAACCCGCCCTTCATAGACCCTCTGCGCATTGGAGAACATGGTCTACTGATGCTCGTCGACCGAGTATGGGGCGTGTCATCCGTCATGTCTGTCAAATCTGACGTTGACTTCCGACAAATTTTCGACGATATCGTCGTAGCCTCGTCATCTGCATCATGGAGGATTGCAGACGGAGTGCCCGGCATCGCGTCTGTGGAGTCATCCGTGTGACTGGAGACTATGCTCGGTGACGTCACAAGCCGCGGCGAGCTCACTGTGGAAGTAGAACTGTATAGTTTCCTCGTACGGTTGGGGGAGACGTATCCAGGGTTCGTGTGGATGTGCACAGGGGGCGGTTTTGGCGACCTGGACTTCTCTCGGCGACTGTGCTTGAGAGATGTGGTGTAGTGCAGGCTGGCGCGCTCGACGCAAGGACTCGATCGGCCGGATGGGGACTTTTGGGGGAAATTGAAGTGCCTTGGAGACATCGGACTTCTGTGTCCGTGAGCTATTGGAGATTTAGGGGGCTGGTTGTGCTTGTCATAGCTGCAACCAGACTGGGGGGTGTAATATCCGGACGAAGATGTGCTGGATGCTATGGAAGGACTTTTCTGGGGGAATATAAAGTGGCGAGGGCTTTTAGGGGTGTGTGGTTTAGGAGAAACAGGCGGATAACCTCCGGGGCTGTTCACCGCCATCTTGATCACTAAACACTATCACTGGCTCATTTCACTGTCCATCTGAAACGAAAGAAATGATACACGTTAATAAAGCCAAATACAATTTCGGAGGTTAAAGTAGTACGCACGGATATTGAAAAAAAAAACAATTATTCAAGATCTTTATAATAAACCCAACAGAGAATATTACATAAAAATTCGCACAGCTAGCTAGCAAGCTAGTTAAAACCTAAACACGTGATAATGTAAAATCAACTACAATTGTCCCTGACCATGAACCGTAAGACAGTGAAACACTGCAGACGTGCTGTCAAAACAAAAACACAACGGACAAGGAACATAAAACATCACAGGAGGCGTGCACACACACAAACACGTATACCGTCCACATAAACTGTGCCTGTCAAACAGTGAACTGTATTAAACTTGGCCTCTGTCTGTCTCTCTGGAAGGAATTAAGATGTGTATACATTTTCGCGGCATTCATTTCAGATCCCATTCGGTATGGGAAAAGGAAAATGCTGAAGCCGATATCTTCAATTTGTTTGCAAATTGAAATGGAACGAGTTAAATTTTGATAAAAGAAAAATTAAAGTTTTTTTTTTATTGGGACAAACCCGTCTCTACTTTCCGAAACTACTGCAACGGCTGTAATCTAGGATCTGCAGTAGATACAAACATGAAATCACCTAAACATTGAAGTCCAGCGCGTATAGGGACATGGATGACTGTCTTGGATCCCGCAACGAAATTAATCAGAAGATGTAATTTGAGGAAAAAATTTGCGCTTATGAAATACAGTTACTTCACTCACACTGCGAAATACAAAGCTATGGTTGTTTCACGAGGGGTTTTCTGTGACGCTATAGTATCAAACCGATTCAGCCAACCCATTCGTGCCGAAATATGGCTCTCCTATACTCAGATGAGAACATCTACGGCATTACGTCATTAACAATTTTTGGTGTTGCAAAACAGAATAAGTAAATAATTATATTTACGCTTCTATTCAGTAAGTGAAACACCGGCTTTACAACAAAACTCCAGAAGGGACAACTCGGATCAAATAAAACTTATTTTCAAAGGACAAGTTTACGCGATCATTGTGTTTTTTCTTTTGTTTTGTTTCTTGTTGTTATAACATTATTTTGTTTGTCATATTTCTAAGCGGAGTTCTTTTGTTTGTACAAGTACATAAACATGTATTTTTTAGAAGAATACTTTATTTAACAATTTTCTTGTTGGAGTCTCAACGTGGAACTAATTAGGTATTTAAACAGTTGTTTAGGATGTAATCATTATTTTTTCTTTCTTCTTATTTGAGGTTAGTGCTATGGAATAGATCCAAATAACATTTTTAGCAATATCTATGGTGATAGCTCGCTGTCCAGGTACTCTGTGGACGTCCTCTATCTCATTTAGGGGACATATGACTTAAAGTCAAGTTATGGCACTGGCTTGCTTTATAATGTTCGACATTTGTTGTTATTTCGTGTCCAAAGCCTTGTGAAAGTACGTGCTGGTAGCATAGAATACAAAATGCCACAATGAACAGGCTAGATAACTTTTTTGACTTCAGGCGTTAACGTGAGAACTTCAACTATCAAGTCAAGCTGTCCTTGGGCAACCTGAAAATATATATAATTGGATGGTTTGGTTGCTTGGTGATCGAGTGGCAGAAAATGGCAATGACATTCATTCGCCCTTGAATAACGTGTTGTGCAAAATCACTTCAGGTGTGCTTGAACTCTTATATATTAGGTATATATTTTCACTGAAGTATATTCATTTTTATACTGATACATTGTGTACGCATCAACTGAAAACATTAAAGAAATTCTTACGAAGAAACAGTCATCCGTCAATTTCACTCGAAAAGAAGTTACATCAATAATCACCGTATTTACATATAATTAAGGTCTAATCTCAATTTAATCTCGCACAATAGAAATTTTGGGGTAAGATTGAAAGCCAATCTGATACTTTAAGGCACGCATGATGGATAGCCTCAGTTGATGGATTGGCTCAAATAAAGCTTAATTTCGCCTTTATAATGCACGATGACTGACGCATTGCGCAGTTAATTCTACATTGTCTGCTTGTAGACGATTTTCGTAGAAAATTTTCGTGAAATGGTTCATATGTTTTATATATTTTCCGCCCAGGTTAGAGCGAGATGGAGTAACAGATGCTTAGACCTCATTAACTGAGGCCAACTGACAAAAAATAACTCGTTCTCTGTCTAGCACCCAGCAGGGCCGCGATTGCATTATTTCGACTGTATGTGCATCATGCGAATATATATAGTTGTACTTAACGTGCCGTTTACAGGGCTAGATTCGACCACCAAGACGGGATTAGTATTGTGTCAATAAAATTTTCAATATTGCTATTTCCTATCTGTGATATTAGAGACAATAGCCTGGAATTATAGACAGTGACTTCAACAAGCCCGCTTTACTATTTTTTATACCTTTTTGTAAAGTTTTAGATTTTTATTTTTCACAGATATACACAGTTTCGTCACGTTTTTACTTTTTGTCATTCTTCATACAATTCATTCCGGTTTTAACCTGCCTTTTATCTAAAAAGCAATTTAACTAGACACACCATCAACAGCAACACATAAATAAAATAGAACAGAATCAACAAAGGTGTTTGTTTAACACAACATATTATTTAACTATATGTATACGCAGAAAATACGACTTTATCTCCGCAGCATAGAAGCCAGATTAGTGTGTCAGCTACCATGGCTTCCTGTTTCTAATAAACGTCAGCTGTCGGCTGCTAGCTAATCTAAGTGATAATCTTCACACGAGCTCAACACGACCGGTCGCTTCAACGTCCCGACAGCTAATGCCATTAATAAATACAGTGCATCCCCTCCACTTCATTGTTAAGTCAAACGTAAGTAAATATATTTTTAAATACCCTATCATATTTTCATATTCATTATGTATGGATAATTATGTAAGACTGTGCTGTACTGTGACTGGGCAGGCGGCCGCTGCTATCGTTCCGGGTGTTGTGTATGTAACATTGTATTTTTGCTAAACGTACCCGTTTGTTTCTTCTTGTCTCGAAAAAGGCTTTTAATAAGCCGTCTTAATACAGTCTTAATAATATATACTTAATACATTCGGATGATAATAATAATAAATGTTATTATTTCCTATTCTATACAATATCCTATTCTATATAGGTTATATAGGAATAGATACTATATTGGATTGAATAACCGGGTATACCTGGGTGTTCTTTGGTTGCTTGGTGATCGACTGGCAGAAAATGACATTTATTCGCCCTTGAACAACGTGTTGCGCAAAATCACTTCAGGTGTGCTTGAACTCTTATATATTAAGTATATATTTTCACTGAAGTATATTCATTTTTATACTGGTACATTTTGTACGAATCAACTAAAACATTAAACAAATTCTCACGAAGAAACAGTCATCCGTCAATTTCACTGTATAAATTTTACGATGTGACATTCCCGATTTCTTCGTAAGTTTATTTAGACATCACTGACTTATAATGTCTTTGTAAGATCTAACATTTACAAATTATAAGTTTGTAACCGCTAATCCCCCTTGAGAAAGCGTAGTGATTAATGGTCATACCTTCTTCGTGTGAGAGGAATTACATATAGGCTGATGATGATGATAATATACACTACCTACTGTAAAAGTACTTAAAAATAATGCATCATACAGATAAACCATTCATTCAAAATAGGATAGTATATAAAAACTGGTATTCACAGGCCGAATACTGAAGCTCGCAGAAGAATTCACTTTAATTATTGTTCCCCGCCCTAGTTATTTACTACCCAGTGATCTTGACACCCGTTTATTTTTACGACAATGCCCATTGTCATTTCTTCACGGTAAATTTAAGTTCGTATTTACGATGTCCAGTATTCGACTAGATATTAAGGACATCTCTAAGTTTCGGCCTAATAGGTGAAGTATGCCGAATTTTTTTCACTCGTGAACCAGAACCAGGGCTGGTTCTTGTAAGCGCATCGCGTATCACAACAGTGACAAAATATTAAAAATTCATAACAAATAATAGGTATTCTAAAAAAAATGGTTTAAATATTTAAATTTTATCTCTGCATATTTCATTGGTTCTCTGACAAAAGGTGTGAGTTTCAATATAATTGTGTGTGCTTTCAAATTAAAATTGTTCATTTTATTTCGGAAAATCCGAATACTATACACGTACCGACGTTACTCTTACTTTCTTTTCAATTAACAACATGATCAATACTTTTTTTAAAGATAATAAGTACATAATTTCTTAGAAACTGCTTATTGCATTGTTACAATATTCTATGTACCTACACAAACAGCAATAATGGGTTGCTTAAGCGTGAATTATAACCTAAACCTCTATAACTTAGATTAATTAAATTCACACACTTATACGAATCAGCACTCAAATTCCTAACTCTTATGTATAACCTAGTAATTATAACCCACTCAATTCAATATTTGCGAGATCCTTTGCAAACAGTAGCCTCTTCATAATGTTATTAAAGGCCCGTACGTTTAACACAAAACACGTGGTTTCGGCGAAAACTAAATGTTAGGTTAGCCGGTTTCGGCTTTCGGCCTAACGGACGGCCTTGAGGCGAGCTCTAGTGGTGTTTGCACATTACTAGCGAGTTTCATTTCACGCTTGGTCCATAATGTTCGGAAATATGTTATCTACTACCTACTCATCGCCTAAAATAACTTTTTTGCGATAAGTATTGATTGATATTTGGAATGGTTTAAGTTATTACACGAATGGATGAACTGTATTGAACGTTTGTTTATACAGTTAATGTTTCGCAAAAACTAAATAAAAAAGATCTTGTATACATACTGGAAGATTTGCTATTCGATTTACGCCCTTAACCTTGATCAGTTATTCTATTGGTGAAAGACAAATTGTATCTAGATGGCACCCAGTAGCTTGCAGTGTATAACGCGTCCGTTGGTTTTCTATGTCATACCTTTCGTGTA